CAAAGTTGGAGGGCACAAATGTAAAATGAGGTAAAGTTAAAGGGTATATTTATGTATTATACCTTTAATAAATGTCGGGTCGGTAGATAAGATTATGACACATGTATGTCCGTTAGTTTGAAGGGTATATATACTTTATTTTTTTATGGTAAGAGCACCAATGTCTCAAAAGTATGACATAAGGTATTTGCATCAAAGACACCAACAATGTCCCAAAAGTATAACAGGGTATCTACATACCATTTTTCAATAGTTTGAGGGTACATTTGTCCTTTATTCCCCTGAGTATGAAATTGACTGATATTATGACGATAATAGGTAGGATAGATATCACTATAGGAAAAAGTTGATTTCAAAATGATAATCAATACAATATAAATAAAGATCTAGTATATGAAGATATGTTGATATTTCTGAAGTACGATCTAACTTTTCTTTTGATTTATTACATGTTGTATTAGCGCGATACGATAAAAATCATTCATTTATTTTTTGTTATTTATAGAGAACTTTGTCATGTTCATGATGACTAAACATTGGATGAATGATTAAGACTATAGTATATGAAGATATGTTGATGTTTCTGAAGTACGATCTAATTTTTCTTTTGATTTATTACATATTGTATTAGCGCGATACAATAAAAATCATTCATTTTTTTTTGTTTGATAGGAATTGATGGACGTGAAGATGAAGTTTTGAATTTTATTCCTGGAATTTCTGAAGTAAGACTTGGTGATTTGCCTGGTGGAGTTGTTTCTGGTGACCTAAAATCGCCATTTTCGATGATGCTTCATAAAATGGGAAAAACCATAGGAAAAGGAAAAGCCATATCAATAAATTCATTTGAAGAGCTAGATCCTCAAATGGTTCAATATCTCAAGTCTAAATTCAACAACATTCTTAATGTTGGTCCTTTTAACTTAACTTCACCACCACCTTTAGCAAATGTTGTAGACAAATATGATTGTATTGAGTGGTTAAATCATCAAGAGCCAAACTCTGTGGCATATATTGGATTTGGTACTGTTGCAACACCACCACCTAATGAGTTAGAAGCAATGGCTCAAGCACTTGAAGACAAAAAAATTCCATTTCTTTGGTCAATTAAAGAGAATTTTATGTCACATTTTCCAAAAGGATTCTTGGAAAAGACAAGTGAGTATGGTAAAGTTGTACCATGGGTACCACAAGTACAAGTTCTTGAACATAGTGCCGTTGGAGTTTTTATAAATCACTCTGGATGGAATTCAGTACTCGAGAGTATAGCGTCTGGGGTACCTATAATTTGTAGGCCTTTTTTCGGTGATCATCATTTGAATGCTTGGATGGTTGAAAAAGTTTGGAAAATTGGAGTGAAAATTGAAGGTGGGGTTTTCACTAAAAGTGGTACAATTGATGCACTTGAATTTGTTTTGTCAAAAAATAAAGAGGAATTGAAGGAACAAATTGGGATGTATAAAGAACTTGCTTTAAAGGCTGTTGGAACAAGTGGGAGTTCAACTCAAAATTTCAACAAGTTGGTTGAGATTATCACTTCTTGTTAGTGAAACTATAATATATTCTTGAAAAGGGGTTTTAATGATTAATTATTAATTCCACTTTTTTTTTTTTTTAAAAAAATATATATATATATATGTATCAATTGTTATCATGAATTGATCATCAATATTTGTCCATGTAACATTGTTTTTGGGAAAACATTTGTAATGAAATTGAAACTCATGACTTTCTAGTCACACAACAAACTCTTACCATTGCATCAATATAATATACTCTCTCTCGTTAATTTGTGTTGTATACTTAAGACCGTTATCTTTATGTAATTTGTGTTGTGTACTTAAGACCGTTACCTTTATGTTTTTAGAAGCGAATTTGTTCAAACAAAGACAATTTTTGTTGGAAAATTATCACCTCTTGCTTATGATCCCCTTGAAAGGGATTAATTCAATGTTTTGTTACTATGTGTGTTTTTGTAATACATTAATCAATTCAATTGATTTGTCATTAATTATATTTAGTAAATTATCAATGCTCGGTCATGTAACATTGTTTTCCTTTCAAGGGAAAAATATCTTATTTGATGAGTAATTAAATTGACTATTTAGCCATTAAAATTACAGCAACTTTTACCGTTATGTCAAGACTCGCTTCACCTAAAATACTTGTGCTCAAAACTATGCTCTATTCCCATGAGTTTTCCATTTTTGTAAAACAACATATTCTAATTGTTGCGATTAAATACAAGGTATGAAAAATTCGAATTTCTCAATAAAAATCTAGAAATTCCAAAGTCACAAATCAAAAATATGCATAACAATATTAAAAGTTAGTGTAGGGCCTAACCACTTTGATCTTTTGGTAAAGCAAGTCACCTTATCAGTTCAAATTTTCCCTACCCATTTTGCAATGTTAGATGCTGTTAGGGAAGAAATGAGAAAAGAATAACTTTTCAAAAAATGTATTCCTAGCATGCCTAATAAGGATGGCAATTGGGCGAGGCACGACAGGACAGGACAGGTTGAGTTTAACCCACATTTTTTTCTAGCTCAGCTAACCTAGCCCACATAACATTTTTTTGTGTTTTAAATCCGCCTCGTGAAATATTAACTATTCTTGGTTATACATGATGGGGAAAATCTAATGAACATGGCTAGTCACAAAATCAACACAATACGGAATAACTTTGTCTATCAAGACTAGAACAATACAAACATGCTATTGATTCGACCCATTTTTACCTTAACAAATTAAATTTCGGACAAGTTGGATCATGACCCGTTCATTGATTTGACTTATTTTAACAAGGTAGGTTTTTTCTATTGATAATCATATCATTGGAGACAACTTGCACGCGTCTTGATTAATTTCAAGAGCTATATGTTACTTTTCTAAGTATCAGACAACTCTGTCCACCAAATCTTGAAGAGACCAACAAGCTAGCCTTTTCTTTTCATAACCATAATATTTACGAAAGTTTTAATCAAACTAAGTCATTATATAAAATAATTTACCAAAGTAATACATTTTTTTTAAAATTTTACAAAACTAGTATAAACGTATTTCACGTAACGTTTTAGGGTATATTTTATTTTTTAAAAACTAACAGCATTAGTTTGATATACGTTACTGTAAGTGACGTTTTACTTTTAAAACGTTATTTTCAGTAACGTTTTACTCTTAAAACGTTACTGTGAGTAACGTT